ACAATATTGAATCTTTCTCCTGTCGCTGTTGTATCTTATAGTCTGTATAAAATGGAGCGGAGTGATTGTGTTGGTTCATGAGCGATATTGATTTTAAAGGGTTTCAAAATCCTTGTGGTGATTCCTAAGGGGTTTTTCACATTTAGAAGGATTACCCATCTCTTAATTTTTGAGATTCATTCTATGATGGTGGATTAAGTCCCCAGATACATTTTAATTAAGCTTCTACAGTAGCTAGTTTTACAAAAAAAAGACAGACAGATAGGTTTCTTCCATTTTTTTCACCTGGATATCTCTAATCAATCTCTTAAGAATAGTGCCAATATAGAAAATTTCCAGTTTAAAATATTTACATGTACACTTATCTTTTGTTCACTTAACTCCTTATCGAAAATTCATATTTTATTCTACCATCTTTCTTGATTCTTGTTTCTAGATGTATTATCCATATTCGGTATTCAAGCTATTCTTCGAGATATTTGTAGAATTTATCCTATCCTAAAATTATTGACCAGTTCTCCTGATTGTTTTACAACAAATCCATTATATTCTAATCTACAAGGTCCCTTAAATTCAATTTCAAACAATTTAACTAAATTATGTGATACACTAGCTAGAAAATCACAAACTAAACGTGAAAATAAATCTGACTTGAAATTAACTAACAGTCAACATGTAAAGAAAACTAAACAAAAAAATATTGGTAGTAACAATCGACTGGCAGAACAAAACATTTCAGAAACTAATGATAATTATCATGAAAACGTTTCTCCAGAATCTTTATTACTATCGAACATAAAAAAGCAGCAGCAACAACAACAACCAGATGATTTTCTAACAACAAAACAAACCATCAATGAAACAAACAATTCACCACCACCACCATGTCAGGCATTCAATAATCACTGTCAAGTCCTACAATGTCAAATTGAACATTTAACAAAATATTTAAGTGGATTATGAAAAATAAAAACACGAAAAAAAAGAAAAGCACATAACTGTCCTACTCATATATTTATTTTTTTATTCACACTACCTAAGCTTTCTCTCCTCCTGTTTAATATGTAGAAATTTTATTCATTCCCTCTTGTATTTAACAGAGATATTTCCCATTCTCATTTGTATGATACACGATTATTATTGTCTTTATAGCCTTCATATTCTTTGAAAGTAACTTTGTTTGCGTTTTACATTTTGCATAAACTGATTCAAGATGGATGTGTTTTTGACTATTTAAGGAGGGGGATTCGAATGTGATAATAGGATAACATTGGGGGCTTCTTTAGCTATAGAGTCTTTTAAATACATTCAGAATTAACAAATTTGATTGAGATCATGAATCGATCGATGTTAGACTACCTGGAAGCACTGGATTCGTCTTCTCAATCAACTACTGAACAATCTCTACAACTCCATACTGATAACTACCATGTGCTCACTAGTGACTGGCTTCGTAAGGAATTTCTCGAAGTTCTAGTGAGAAGCATTCACAATTAACAAATTGTTATAGAGAATCTTGTCTTTTTATTCAAACGCTAGACTATAATTCTTGTGGGTTAAAAACTTTGTTAAGTGTTGAAAACAAGTTGACCAAATACTGTTAATTGTTCTACGTTGTTTTGTACTCCATATTTTAAAACGATGTAGTCATCCGTCACGGAACTATCAAAGTGAAAATAACATTTTTACAATTCAAAACAAAAATATAATAATTAGTCAATAACATTTTACTCTGACTATGGTACTAATTTATCAAGTACAGTTTCATGTATGTGGCTTTGAGCCAGTTTTTTGGAATGCTGGTCATACTACTCAGCTGTTCAAACTGAAGTAGGTAGAACGAGACTCGAACTTGTGACTTAGTGATTGAAAGTCGACTGTCGTAAGTACTAAGTCACCAATCTAAAATAAATATCTTTGTAGCTGCTATGTTCAATCGATGGGTGCGTCCAAATATATACAGCACGATGATATAAACAATGAGAAGTCTTACCAATTAAAGCAGTAACTAAAATGTACGGATGTAGATAGTGAATTTCTATCCAATGTTTTTTCACTATTCTTAGTGAAATATGTCTCAGCCAAACACATAGATCTAAGTGTCTGCAGTTGCGTTGTTTTTTTGAGATCAGGTTCAACTGAAATACTCAGAGCGCTTTTAGTTCCAGAAAAGATGATGCATGCCAACCTTCAGATGAAGTACAATCCAACACTTGATGAGATTTCTGTCGAATCGGCAAACATAACGATATGTCCGATGTTCAAAAGATAAAAACACAATTAATGGTACGGAAAACTAAACACTGGACAACAGCTTAGCTTTTACCTCATGTTTGATAAAATAAACTTCAAAGCTACTAGGACAGCCAACTAAGACTATATATGTATATTGCAAAAAGGCCCCCTCTCCATGCTTATTCAAGTATCACTGCACATTCTTAATTTCTTATCTGATAATATTCAGTTGAAGTGAACCTATCGGTGCTTCAATTAGAGACCCATAATGACAAAATGGACAGCTGGTAGGTTATTGAGCAAATACACCCTCCAGTACACGCAAACCCTGGAGGGGATATTTGTGGGTCTCCCCTCTTTTAGGTTCTTGAAGTATATAATATATATCCATATTCATGTTAGAAGTCAACGGGGTCACCTGAGACAAATATGTATTATTTCTGAACACTAGCAAATCAATCAGTCTCAGCTGGGTAACGTGCTAGTAGAACTGACTCAGTAACATGTGTTTATTCATTAGATACTACGGCAGTGTATTATAATTTTAAGAGCTTAGGAAAACATTTCCCCTTCTACTGTAAATTATGGGTCGCAGAAATCCAAATACTATGGAAAACTATGCATTATCTTCCCGTGTCCAACTATTAGATGCAGACAAATAGAATCCAAGTTGTTCCTTTTGTATTTTTAGGACTGTTCTAAGTCAACCTCTGAACTGATGATAGGGAGTGAAACGGCCGTGTCAACCACTCCACTTATCTCAAAAATTCAGAAAGCTCGTTTGGTTTCTATAAATCTGCGTCATCAATAGCACAGATAGGATGTCCGTCTGCCTAACAAAGGACAAGTTTACTGTACAGCTTTATGGGTTTGAAGTGTGGTTATTAATAGAGGATAATTTGCAGGCTATTAGTATTACACAATATATACCTCAGAACGATTGCTCATGTATTTTAGAACCACTGTGTGAACAATTCTTAGATTAGGAATAAGGTACCAAATAGAGATGGCAAATCGACTGAGGCGGTTGGGACATGTAAAACGAGTACCTAACCGCCGCCTACCTCAACAGGCGGTGTTTGTTAGTGTAGGAGTACATTAGAAAGCTAGGTGTGGTTAAACTAAAACCTGGCGCCAGTTCATGAAGTCACTAACTGTTGGATCGAGCCATGTAAGTACATATTACCTGGTTGAGCGTCTGCATAATCACCGTAACCTATTGTTAGACTTTGCATGACATGGCTCACAATCGCTTGCAATGGTTAATATGCACTCACTCTTAATCTTCCCTTGTAGTGGACGCTACTCGCAAGATTGCTTGTAAGTAGTGTATGGCGGGATGTAGCGTCGGAGTTGCAAAATTTGTTAGACGGAGTGATGAGTTTTAGTACATCGAAAGCACGAAGCTGGCACAGCACGTGAAGGTCAGATGAGAATTCCGTTTAGACTGCAGAACACATCGAAAGATGCAAATGGGTGATGGAAGGCTATGTATTATGTAAATGTCTTGTAGCTTATAATAAACATACAATCCCTCAGCCCATTGACGTGTTCTTGAAAACAGAAATCTCGTCTTTTTGTTTTCACCTAACATTTCTTACTACCACTGATAATATTACTATTACTCTAGAATGTCTCGCCATGCTGATGTGGTGTAGCAACTTAGGATGACGCACATGTGTCATATTCTATGTTGTACATAACTGATTGATTGCTATTCAATCTCTTAAAGACAATTGCACTTCATTTATTTTATTTACCGAATACAATCTCATGTAGTTAGCTTTGGGCAATACAGACAGCCATAATCAACGCAGGGTTTAGTACAACTGTGCTTTAAATAAAGTTCTTATACCATTTTGGCACGACGAGATGAAATTAACAAAATACATAGCAAATGAGTCAAAACAATATAGTAGCAATTATAATGAGGAAGATTAAATATTGGGAGTGTAGTTTCAAAAGACGGGATAAAAAGATACTGCAATACAATACTGGAATTCAATGTGTATAAGATAGAGTGAATGCATCTACGCCACTGTGACCGATTTCGAGCCACGTCATAAATTGATACCTAACTCTCATTCAACCTACTCCAATACTACCAAACGTCGGGTATCGATATAGGTAATCATTAGTCATAAGTAATACTATACGGTTCCTCAAACCGAAGTAGGTGGAGAAAGGGATTGAAACCCAGTCTATTTGAAAGATAAGTGCTTTAATCATTTAGTCATTGTGTGATATGCAAGACATGTCAGTTTACTATCGTAATTTTAGTAAGCCGATAAGTTTATAGATTAAGTTGCTGATAAATAAAAACTTGAACAAAAAACAACGATCTGCAAAACCACAAACTTCACTTGTTTTTTAACTAGGCAAATTCTTTTTCGATTTTAAATATACATTTTATGTATATATGTACGTTGGATTTATTCACAGGATATAAGGGGAAAAAGGTTTTATTTAAAACGAATAATGATATAGCACGCGTTGGAACGAATGACAAAAAAATCTAAATGGACAAACAAGTGAATAGATATCAAGATGAGAAAAAAGAGGAACAAGTTCCGAATAGTGATTTACAAGGATTTCAGCGGAGAAACAACGGAAAGTTATTTCTTGTACGCATACATCAAAACTTCAACGGTAAAGTAACTACAGTTTGTTTGTTTTACCAGGAAAGATATGCGTAGTGTCTGTGATGAAAGTCAAGTGTGAAATTTTAAGATAAAAAATTTAGTTTTCTGGATTATTTTTCTTCACACCATTCATTTTCTTTCTTAACCTAAAAGAACAATAAAACATGGAAAAATAGGAAATAAATCATTGAACAAAGAAATGATTTATTCATATGTACTACAGACGAGTGGATCAGTGGCGTAATGATTAAAGCGTTAGACTTTCAGCCACTAATCTCCAGGTTTGAGCCCCGTTCCATATACTTCGTTTTGAGCAACCGGGGTAGTATCTCTAGTTTCCACATTTGAAGTATGGCTCATAACCAGCTTAAGAAAAAATAGATGTAGGACTTTAACCTTTTTTGATACCAAGAAAATTCTTTTAAAAAATTTTGGTACGTCTGAACTATCCCTGAATCTATCCGCTAAAGCGTATTACTGTTGAAGTGTTGTCAGTCGGTACTTATATCGGTTGTACAGGGTGATATTTTGGATTCAGTTAACTTATTTGCGTATCTAAGAGTATTCGTTATATTTATTGAACAAATTACTACTAAATCTCTCTCGATCATCACTTATAACAAAACATTAAGGTCATTTAGTGAGAAGTACTAAACTGACGTTTTCTACTAGATAGCAATCTTCCTACTTTGCATACACATAAACGTTACCTGATTTGAATATAAGCTGTTATCAATAAGATGAGAAACAGTAAGGGATAGGCAAATAAATAAGTTTGAGTTAAACGGCTCCAAGATATAGCGATGTCCTAGGGATAGAACATTATTTAAAAATCGATAAAAATTGTTCGGATTAGACAACTTGGAAATTACTAAATTGTGAATATGTAATAATTAGCTTCTAAATAACTTTTCCAACAGTAAAAACTATTATAATGAACTGATGAGACGGCAATTAAGTTGATGATATTTACTGATGATTGCATTAACAGGCTAGCAAACATGAGATCATGAATGATATGTGTTCGTAAATGGTTACTTAAAAGATATTATACGGAGTGTATTACCTGTTTAGTGATTATCAACATGACGTATTAATGACTTCTAAGATAAGGATGTTTCCTCTTAAACGTAAAACCACATATTTTGCCGGCACAGTAAGAGTATCGTATTCTTTAGTCAAGAGATGAACTATAAAAGTATGTATACAAAGCTTCCTAGTATTTTAAATGGTTTTTGAAAGGATATTCACTGGGACTATAATTTATGGACGACCTTTGAGAGACGCCAAATTGACCTTGGGAATGTCAACCTTCTACCTAGGACTAAATGAGGTTTACAAACCAGTGTGAGGAATTGGAATTTACAGTTGATGGTCAGGGTTAGGAACCAGATTTAGAGGTTTTTACCACGAAATGGCATTAGCTAAAATGCCAAGACGCTATTTAGCCAAATGAATGGATTTCGCGCCAAAATCCAAGACCTGTTGTCATAAATTTGATTGGTTTGTCCACAAATTATAGTGTCGCCGAATATTTTTACTAAGTCACCGGTATATTTTGGACGTAAGTCTATAACTACACACTTACTTGTTCCTCTTCCTGGGGTGTGAAATCACACTTAATATTGAAGGTCTTGCGTATTTCTTCTGGTGTTTTTCCTTTGATCATATTAGCTACCGTTTTACAGCATACATCCAAGAGTCCCCTAATATCGAGATAGTTGGCTGCTAACATCAACTCAAACAGTGTTCCTTGATCGACACGAAGAAACTCTTGATCCCAACTAGGAATATCATCTGTACGACGTTCTTTGTTCTCGTCATCTTCCTGGGGTGGTGGATCGTCTTTGTGATAAGTGCACCACTGAATAACTTTACGCAGAATTCCAGCATTAACATTTGGGAGGGGAACTGGCTCTTCATCTCCTTGCTCCTCCAACCCTAAATCTATAGAAAACAACAATATACAACATAGTCTTAATTACTTCACAATTTTGTTCAGAATAGTTAACTATTTTGGTGGTTATACATATGGATATCTAAATATCTAAACTTTACAAACGCAATAGAGGCTCAATCACATTATGACTGACCAATAAAGTGTACTTCATGTACTAGGATATCGTAAAACCTGGAAATTACATGTTAGTTTGGAAAATTTAGAAACTACGATTAAGTCTTTCGAGAAATACTTTGTATGTGTCTCCAAAAAACTGAAATTTATGGAGCTGACAGAACTTTTGCAAGTGGAATAGTCACTCGTAAATTTGAAAATAAGTCACACTATTAGTGTTACTTGTGGCCAGTTAATATATCACGCGATGAAGTAGCCAATCAGATTACGACTCATACATATGCGTCACACAAGTCACTTGATTTGTGTGTGGGCTGTGATACTGCCCGGGTTCCCAGACCGAGGCAGGTGGCTTCCCTAGAAAGTCATTCTCTGAGGAAATTTTACGTCTCATAGCTTCGATTTACAAAAACTTGAGTGTTGGCATTAGTATGGCAAACGAGACCATTCTCTTCACCCAGAGATCCAATGAGTTATATTATTATTAGCCACCATGGAAATTTGTACAGGATCAAACATCACGATACTGACAGCTACTCAGTGTAATGCCATAATATACAATAATACAACTGGTTGGAACACATTACTTTAAGGAAAAGGATGAGACCAATGTGTATGTAATTGCCTCAAATGCCCTGGTACGACCGTGGGTGGGGAGAGTCAGCTCTCCCTCCGCAAATGCTGTCATATGGCCACGCGGATACAACCACTGCCAGGGAAGTCCTACTTACTGACTTCTCGTGGCAGGGGTGTTGTTTTCGAAACTGAGAGTACGTAAATCAAGTATCCAGCGCTTAGCTGGGTTGGTGGATATGGAGGGTCCACCTAGAGGTCCAGGATCCTGAAGGAACAAACGGCGTGTGAAAACATTGTTGGTCACCGGCTATCATGGGACTAAATCTCCTAAAATTGCCCGATTGTCATGTGGATTAGACATTAGATCAAAGGCTCAGAGAGTAGCTCCTTAAGAAAAACAACTGTTTCGGTTTGGGCACCAGGGTAGTTTCACAGCTCTCACACATATCATTGATAACTACTACTGGTCTAATTGTAATGATGTGGTGTATATGTATTTGTTGTCCGCTTGTACCAATGTTTATTTGTTCAAATAAGGGAACAAATTCCACCATTATACTAACCTACTGTGTTAATTTTTCTAACGAAGAACAGGGAGCAGACATCCAGAAAGAACACACTAGGATCGACAAAACTATAGTTTATGGACAAACCAATCAAATTTATGACCACATGTCTTGGCATTTTAGCTTATATCAGTTCGTGGTAAAACCCCTAAATTTAGTTACCAACCCTGACCATGAACTGTAAATTCCAATTCCTCACACTGATTTGTAAACCTCATTTAGTCCTAGGTAGAAGGTGAACATTCCCAAGGTCAATTTGGCATCGCTCAAGGGTTGTCCATAAATCAGTCTCACTGAAATTATTTAAGAACTTAAAAATAGGATCTGAAAGCTTAACTTAGAAAGGGACAATAGCATACACCAAATGATGTTCTACAGAATTAAGGCAAAGATTATGTACATGTCCAACCCTTCTATCTTGGGAAGGTTTTGCAGTTTTCCAACAACTTTAGTGACTTTAACCAGACCGTAGGAAATTTTAAGGTTTTTGTGCTACTTCCCCATAGTTTTCTATAGCGGTTTCTCCAAAAATTTGCCCGAAACGGCAGTAAACATTCTCCAAAATAGGGAGGTTGGATGATAACACCACAAGCCTATAGAGGGATGAACCATACAGAAATGTAAACTCTCGGGCGGTCACAACAATTCTAGATTGATGTAACATAGCTGCACAGAAACAGCATCTAAATAAACCGTCCTAAGCGTTTACAGAAGTAAACAATGATGTTGGCGAAGAGTTCATTCGAAAACTCATGATATGCAATTATTTTCTTACCATCCAACATAGTTTTGATAGTAACGGATTGTTTTGCAATAGCCACATCTATATCGAAAACCTCACCATCGGAACTAGCCAGTTTGATCGACGGCATCTTGGATATATTGTAGCAACCGCGGTAACCTCAGCAATCTGCACTTCCTATTATCATTGATAAAGTAAAACAAACGTAGCACATTATAATTATATGGTGCGAGTCATAACACTTTTGGCTTCAGAGTCTTTGTGCAAAGCGAACTTTTTCTGGTTTTAATAGTTCTCTGTGACATACATTGTACAAATCTGATGGAAAGATTGTATTAGATTTGTTCGTGTATGACTAGTTGCTTTTTTCAGACTTCAGTTTTCATCAGTAGGGATAGAAAGTCAATAAACCTACATCCACCAGTTCATTTTGTAGTACTGCGAAGATCCAGTCTTCCTTTTAATGTTTCAACAAATACTGGTGTTACGTGTTCCCACAATGTGTGAAAAACACAAATTCAGGTGTAAACGGCTTGATCTCGATTTTCGAACTTCCTTAGAATTTCCTCTCAGATGAAAGACAAAGATAAGGAAAATGAATCCATGATTATCTTTTAGTATGAGCTAAATCAGTATTAGACATCCCCTTACTCTGCGGTAAGGCAACAGGAATAGTTTAGACGTCTCAGTTTGTCCTCATAAGGCAGGCGTTAGAAAGATGTAGGTTGAATTAAAGTATTTCCACGCAGAATTGCGTTGTGAAACAATAACTGTCCATATCTTAACTAATCAGCGCTGGTATATACTTGGAGAAGACTCCATAATCTACATATGTAACGGGGGATTTTATATCAATATGTCAGAGAGATATTTTACCATTTTAGTCCCTCATCGTTTGACTCATTCTAGCATAGCCGTTTCACAATTGAAGCAAGGACCTTCTGCCTTAATCACATATCCTAAATGAGGCTGCAAAAATGACGGCTATAATACCCACAGATATGGCTTAAAACATCCGGAATTGGTTAGTCATACAATTAGGTGGTCACTTATATAGTTATAAGCACCAAAAGTATGAGAAGTATAATTAACATAAAATCCAAGTGCGTCATCTCGAAAGTAAGCAAAAATAATTAGGAAGATATAATCGAAATCGAAGCGAGTAAAGGAAGTCAGTAAATGTGGGATGACAGGCAATAGAGAACATATTCGCCGACGTTACGAAAACTTGATCGATCATTTCTTATTGAATAGTCCTAAAAGTTATCCCCCTGTGGTCCCATTTCGTTCGGAAAACTATTGCTGATTCTTGGGTACTTAGTAGGTGCATCTAATGCCGGTTTTGTTTGTATAGTAAATTATTTTATACTAGAAAGACTTCTATGTACTGGCTGAGCCAGTGTGATATGATCGTTTATCATATTATAAGCACACGAAATTCGCACAAAATGTGTTTTTAGATGTAATCGTTGATAGTGAACAATTCAAATAACCTCCGTAGTCTATTCAAATGAATGAAGTATTATGGTTTGATAGACTAGTCTTTTGTGTCGTTAAATCGTTTCTGTGTTTAGACTAAACCTTTGGTTTTCGGTCGTAACTGACAATGCATCAATGTATAGGCCTTTGTTTGCCTTTTATGTAGTGCAAGCCAATACTGAGAGCTTTACATGAATGCTGCACGAATCATACTTCATCTGTGTGTGGGAAGCACAACATTTACATCGAAAACCAGAGAATACTGTCAGATCTTTCCTAGAACCAACTATCTGAACTTTCTCCATTGTTTGTTTTCTAACTACATCCGAGTATTTCGGAATCGCGTAAAAGTTTAACAAATCTAGTAGACAAATATAACTCGATGCGAACAACGTAAATCGGAACAAGGAATCTAGGGAATTACAAGGGATCAGCAAAAAATATGGGAAACAGCCTTGAGATCGATACACTTGAGTCTTTTACCTGTAAGTTTGCTCCAAGATTTCTTAAGCAACCCTTTGCCTTGAGAATATACTTAAAGACGACTTAATATTGAACCAGTGAAATTCATGTGATATACTTATATGCCAGCGGCTTTTATCTGAAATCGTATCATGTTCATAATGGATTTCTAGTCTCGCCTATGAAATCTCTAATTCAGCCACTTATAAAATCCCCTTTTACCACTGTAAACAGGATGATTTTGTTTCGTCATATCGCCTGTTACCCCAAGACTAACGACGAATAAGACGCATAACCAACCGGTGTATAAAGGGTACGTAACCAAAGCCGAAAACCTATAAATGTATGTGTTCGCAATTCCAGATCTTTCCATCTCATATTTAACATAAATTATTCGTCCTGATACGACATAAGTATATTTATTCTTGAGTTTTATTTTCTAGTTTTTACATTTCAAGGTGATATTTGTCTATATAGCTTAGTGCTGAACGCATAAGTCTAATTTTTACGTCATGAAACTTGTTATCCTATGATAATTAGAAGTAATTGAATTATAGTATGAACTAAGAATCACAGGGATAACGCAATTGAATCAAGAAGTACTACACAAGCACCAACGAATGTACTGTATTTAGAATTCGAAATCAAACATTCAACAAGTACAAAGGAGTCATTAGTTTATTCAAACACCACATCCGCCACAGCTTAAATTAGAGTCTAAGTGTCTGTAATCAATTGTACGTGTTCTTCTTAAGTTCATGCTGTGTCTGTCCGACAATGTATTGGATAAAGACTCTGTATTATCTAGAATGCACTCATTATTATTAGAATAAACAACTGAAATCGGAACAGACTCACCTGGTTCCTGGAATTGTATTTGATCAACATGTCGATTGTGTGTACTTAAGTCATTGATATCTACAAGTCGCACCATAGATTTCCCGACATTCTTCAGAACAATCCCCGTGGATGGTCGAAGATCATTGCCACGATAATACGTGACTTCTGCAGACTCCAAACATCTCATATTCGACCGAAGAGTTCTTCCTTTTAATAGTTTTGATGGAGTCTCTTTCGTCACCGAATGTCTGGCATTTTTATATTGCAGTAGAAAGGTATCTACTCCCCTCTACAGCTCATTAAATGTTGAGGCAGCAATAGAATCAATGGCAGTTTTTAACGTCCTGACAAAATTTTCTGCCTGACCATTGGAACAAGGGTGTCTGGGAGCAGTAAACAGATGTTTGCACCCTATATCATTTAACCAGGTAGTGACTGCATCTGCAGCAAAATGAGAGCCGTTATCAGTCACTAACACCATTGTAACCCCTTCTCGACTAAACACCTTTCTTAATGCTTGAATTGTAAAGTCAGAATTTGGTGAAGTTGTGAAGAAAACTTCAGGCCACTTCGAAAAAGTATCAATAACTACAAGCGCATAGTATTTGCCAAGAAACGGACCACAATAGTCTGCATGAATTCTCTGCCAGGCCTCAGACGATACTGGCCATGGAGTCCACTTCGAATGCTGATTTTTCAGCTTATGACACTTTTCACAATTGTTTGCTGTACGACCAATATCTGCATTTATCTCTGGCCACCAACATGTGAGCCTCGCCAATGACTTCATTTTTTCAACACCTAAATGTCCACTATGAAGATCTTCTAGGACAGATTTACGCAATGAAGGAGGAATAACAACACGATCATTTAAACACAAAATACCATCAGGAGTAGTAGATAGCTCATCCCGCTTTGAAAAATATGTAGGAAATCTACGTTTCAGATTAGCATTCCAACCTTTCCGTATAGCATTAATTGTACATCCAAAGTATTTACGAGTTTCTCTAATGAGATCTGGACGTTTCACTGGTTAAGGTTGCACTAACAAACAGTCTGAAGTATTTACAGGTTTTTCTTGTGATGACCGTCGAGAAATGTAGTCAACATGTTGAATTTGTTTGGCACTCCTGTGCTGAACCGTATAGTCATAGGCACTCAAAGCAATACTCCATCGTTGAACCATAGCAGCTGAGGAACGTGCTAAGGATTTTTCAGGATGATAAATAAACTTTAAAGCCTCATGATCAGTAACAATAGTGAATTTCATTCCGAATAAATATTTATGAAGTCTTTTAACAGCCCAATACACAGCTAATGCTTCTCGCTGAGTCTGTGAATAACCTTGTTCAGTAACAGTAAGTTTGCGTGAAACACAAATAACTGGTCTACCCTCCTGTTCCAAAACTACGCCAATACCTACAGGTGATGCATCAGTGATAAGCACAGACTGTACACTAGGGGAGTAAGTTCGAAGAACAGCATCACTTTGAAGAAACTTTAGTAGACTACGTAAGCATGACTCTTGTTCCTCACCCCATTTAAATGAATTGGATGTCAAAATATTAAATAAACAATTTGCACGACAAGAAAAATTAGGAATAAAACGGGAATAGTATTGAAGAGCACCCACTAGTGAACGTAGTTCCGTAAGATTTTTTGGAGACGGTGCATTTGTCAGTGGAGCTAGTCGTTTCATATCTGGTCTAAATCCATTACCATCAACTAGGTATCCAAGACATTCGAAATTAGATACACAAAATGAACACTTATTTGGATTCACTGTAATATTCTTCTCAATTAAACGACGCAATAAAGCAATAAGTCTCTGGTTATGAGCTACCTTATCAGAACCATGGACAATGAGATCATCTTGATAAACTTCAACGCCCTCAAGATCACTAACTACATTATTCATAACTTCCTGAAATATGGCTGGAGAACAACTTAGATCAAATGGAAGGAAATTGTATTTGAACAGACCAAAAGGAGTATTAATTGTCGTCAAAAGAGATGAAGATTGATCTAAAGGTCAACTTTCGAGAACACTTTAGAACCATGAAGTCGATTTAGAATATCTTCAGCCTCGACCGTCGTGCACGTTTGCTTCAACAAACGGGAATTCAGTGTTAATCTATAGTCACCACATATTCTAGGGGTTTCGCCATCCGACTTCTGTGGCGTAACAATAGGAGTACCCCATGCTGAGGACTGGATCGGTTCAATTATGCCTTTCGCACACAAATCGTTTAATGTTTTATGTACTGCCTCTCGAAGACCATAAGGAATTATTCGTCTTTTAAGAAATACTGGTTCACCCTGTACTTGAAGTTTTATAGGCTGAATCTTCATACCTCCACTGCACTTAGCACACGTGGCTATCAAATCTTCAAGTAAAGCATCA